TTAAAGGAAAGCTAATAAAAATGATATGAAATTTTGAATTTTAACAAAAAAATAAAAATAAAAAAATGTTGTAAGTGAATAGTACAATAAGTGATTTTTTAGAGTAAAAATATCTTTAACATTAAAAGTAAACAATGCTTAAAGTGTTTTGTTAAGACTCTTTCAAAGATATAATTTTACAATAGTTTGCTGGCGAGCCAAGTACATAGCAATGGTGGGTTATAGCATAGGGAACCAGATCCCCTACTGAGCTTGGCATACTGAGCTTCTTGAGCAAGGGATTTGGATCGTAGAAGTTTGATTTAAGGACTACAAATATAACTTTTAGAGGAACCTCCTGTTCGTAGCTATCGGATCAAATTTCAATGGCGCGAATCCTTTGCTCAAGAAGCTAAGTATACTAAGCTCATGAGGGGATTTGGTTCCATAGCATCAGGAGGATTTGAGTTCTTTTACATTAAATATAGTAATTAATTGGGCTATTATATAAATGTTTATTGTCCTAGCCCACCCGACTATGAAAAGTCTGAACCTTATTTGTTTGTTTTTTTGTTTTTTTAAGAAACAATATATTTACACTAAGGGGGTGAGATAAGTTTAGTCTTATAATGAATTAGTAATAATGTGGTTTAAATTCATCTTTGATGAGAATCAAACATAAAATCTCGCACTTCCAAGTAAAGAGAAATTTCACTAGATCGTAATACTAAATGACCTAAATTTGTTTTAAGAAAATACAAAACAACAAAAGTATTTTAAATACTAAAAAATTGATCACTTTTTTTGTGTCATACAATGGATTTTGTTAGATTAGATGATAGATTAGTTACCAACAGGATTTGAATCTTGTCGTTATGCAAAGGCTCAACAGTTTTTCACCATTGTAATAAAGGGTCATTGGCAAAAAAAAAAAAAAAAAAAAAAAGAAAAAAAAGGATCTCTTTAACCACCACTACTAATTTATAGTAGGGGTATGCTATCCACTAGGGGTGCAACTTGGGTTGGGTTAACCTGAACCGCTTATGTTCAACCCGACTTTAAACCCTAACAAGCGGGTTTTTTTTAGTTATAACCCGCCTGAACCCAACCCGATTTCAACCCGTTCATTGATTGTGTTGGGTTGGGTTGATCATTTGTCCAACCCAACCCAACTCGACCCAACTCAATTAACCAAACTCGATTGGGTTGAGCTGTGCAACATGCTTCTCAATGACCTTTGCACCTTCGTGGAGGATTCACTAGTGACTTTTGATGGATTATGATAGAAAAGTGCATGGAGTTGCAGAAAGTAATTGTTTTTCTGGTAGCCACACTTTGATTTTTCTTATGGAGCTTCGAAGGACAATACTTGAGTTTGGTACTAGCTTTGTTTTTATGCAGGAGCTTCAAAAGACAAGACTTGAGTTGGGTACTAGCTTTGGACAATGAAGTGTTCCTTTTTTTTTTTTTTTTTTTTCCTTTCTTTTGGTACTAGCTTTGATATTTCTTGTATTTTAATTCAATCTTTGCATGAACCCGATTAAAACTTGCAAAAGTTGGACAACCCGAAACCAACCCAATTAAACCTGAACCCAATTAAAACCCAACCTGAATCCGAACCCGAAATGTAAAAGTTGGGTTAGGGTTGGGTTGACCTTCTAACCCGTCCGAGTTGCATCCCAATTATCCACACACCCCTTTTTATTTCTCCCATACCCCTTGTTAATTTCTATTATTTGATATTCTTCAATTCATCTAATCCGACGGTCGAAATTAAAATGATGTGAGAGAAGTAACACTCCTTTATAGTATTAAACCACCACTAGTAATTTATAGTATTAAATTAAAAACTTCAATGTTATTATTGTCATACATGACTCTTAATACATTATAGCCTTTCACTACTCAATTTACTCACTCATGACTCATGAAAGTTGTTTGTCAATTCTATACACAATTACCAGACAAGACTAGACATTTTTGAAGTCTAAAAAACAGTAGCCCACGCCTCACGCTATGAGACACTCTGATGAAATAAACAAAGGATTAATTCCATTAAGAATTGAATGGCACAGCTTGAAGAGGTTTTTTTTTTTTTTTTTTTTTTTTTTTTCACTTGTTAAGTTGTTATGAACAAGATTGATGATATATGTTTTTTTCTATTACCAGTTGCAACTTTAAATGTTTTCTTTTGTTAAATCTATTTGAAAATTTATTTACGTAAAGCTATAAATTTCTTACTTTAAATTATTACTTTCATGTTTACAACTATATAATTATAAATTTTATATTAATAATTTTAATTTAGTTCACTCATCGAATAATTTATGACTCCATCATTACATAGAATAATGCATATATAATAAGTTATACATTACAATTAGGTATCGAATAGAAATATATGTGAGTCTAACTTAAAATTCCCTTCAGCCAAGTAGAGAGAACGAGTAAAGCCATAAAACTACGTTGACATGGTTTTGTTAAAAAGTAGTATTAGAGATAAAAGTTTAACCATATGCATTTATGCTTTGATTTGGCTTTTCTTAAAAAGTAGTATTAGAGATATTAATTATTTAAATTAAATTTTGTAAATTATACGAAGTATTTGTTGAGGGATCAGTCCATTAGTTGCTTTGATCTCGCTTGGTGTTCCTTTTCATTCAAAAGGGATTCAAGCAAGGATGGAGCCAAGTAAAAGGCTATCCTGAGCTATAACCTAGATAGCTCTTGTAGATACAAACCAATTGTTTCCTATATTTAATTTATTTTTATATTGTCACATCCCGGCCCGTGGCGGATCACTTCCCGGGTCCGCTCCACCACCGTAGCACGATATTGTCCGCTTTGGGCTTACCATTCCCTCACGGTTTTTGTTTTTGGGAACTCACGAGCAACTTCCCAGTGGGTCACCCATCATGGGATTGCTCTAGCCCCCTTCTCGCTTAACTTCGGAGTTCCTACAGAACCCGAAGCCAGTGAGCTTCCAAAAGGCCTCGTGCTAGGTAGAGATGAGAATATACATTTAAGGATCATTCCCTGGGCGATGTGGGATGTTACATATATTCATCTCACTAATAGCCCATGTATTTTTTTTTTATTTGTTTATTTACTTCATTAATCAATACTATTTATTTTCTAACAAAATCTATTTTACACTTCATATACTATCCATTTATGTTTAATCATGACAATAATTACTCACTCTAATAGTGCTTTTAATTCTTTTCAAAAGCAACTCGTTGCATGTTTCAGTTCTTGAATTATTTTATGCATGACTTTTATCAATTAATTTTTTTTTTTTTTTACAATGTGTTAACCTTTTTCTGTTTATTTATGTATATATTTGCCATATTAAAGGTTGATGAACATAGAATAATTGGACGAGCTTTGCTTATAAGATTAACGTATAGTCATTTTTTTTAAAACCAATTTTTTTTTGGGGCTTTTCAATCTAAGTCCAAAAACATAGGTAGTTTTTTAACTAAGTCCAGTTATCCAATTACATATTTTTATACCAATTTTGCCCTTTTAGATAAAAATATTTAAATTCTTTAATTTTTGTATCATTTATTCAGTTTTTAATTTTGAATATTTAAATACTAACTAAAATATTATCTAGTAACCACCTAATGATGTTTACCTACAAAACCGATATAATTTAGTAACTACCTATTGTATAGGAAGAAAAATACTTTATACCAACAAAACATATGTAATCTACTGCAAAACAAAAATAAACTACCTATTGTATAGGAAGAAAAATGTTGAACCTCCATGGCAGAACATTAGAATAGAAATATGATATAATATACCTCCATTAAAGGAACAAATACTAAACAAAAAAAAGGAACAAATACCAAGTTTCAGTTTACCTTTATGATACGCACAAAAATATAATAAAGCAAATATAAATGCATGATACTGTATTATTGCTTGCAATTGATACTGTATTGCCGAACGAATATGTAAAAAAATTGTGAAAGCTATGTAAAAACTGAAATTGTCATGAAGGGATTTGGAGGGAGGAACACAAAATATCACCCATGAAAGATGAGAGAAGAGGATGATTGATTCCATGATCTAACAAAGGGAATTGTTTAGAAGAAGGAAAAAAAAGGAGGGATAAAACAGACTGGGGGTTGAGATTTTATTGCTATAACTAATCCTACAATTAAGGGATTAGTTAAACCACAAATAATCATATAATTAAGAAATTTTAAATATTTCCTACAATTTATAAGTCTAAGGGATAAATATGGTACAAATTATAAATAAGCTTACGTGGAATATCAATTATTGGACCTATTTCAATGCAGTGGACTAATTATAGTAATGGCTCACAAAATTGGATCTATATCTAATTATCCCTTTTTTTTTTATACTTCTTAGCTAGCCCACCAGCCATAAATTTTTTGGCTCCGCCCTTGGACTCAAGAGAAAGCAATATTGCCGCTAGAACTTGATTGAAAATAGTGTTCAGCTGACTTGTACCGATAGACCCCTCAACAGTTGGTTGCGCCCAAGAAAGACACACTTATTTAGTAATATATTACATAGTTTACAAATTTATTCTAAAAAATTAAAGCATTACTCTTTAGGAAGACTAATGAAAATGGTTTAAAAACTTTGAGTTTTAACGAAAATGACAAAAAAATGTTGTAAGTAAATGGTACCAAAATTAATTTTTTAAAGTAAAAATATGATTTTTAGTTAAAATAAATAGTACCAAGAACTTTTCATTAAAGTTCACTTATTCTTTTCTTAAAGCCGCAAATCATCATGTTCTCAGCGTTTTTTTTTTATTTATTTTTTTCTTTTCCGAAATCGTTCATATGGCTTTTGAATGTACACTAGACACTTGGCAAATGAAAAGTAAAATCAATCAAAACTAATTATTAAAGAAAGACTCAAATGGAAAACGTGTAATGACATGTTGAATTACTTCAGTAATATCGGGGAAAGACCGAGGGCAATTACGTAAATTAAAAGTAAAGTCTATGTATTTATCAGGCCTCCAGGGCAAAACACTTAAAAAACTAACAAATACAAAAATTGTACTTGTTTTCTTCAGCCGCCTCGCCATTGATGGAAGCAGACGAAGTAATAGAGCTATACGATTCTTTCTGGTTCGAGTTCCCGATCTTCAAGAAACAACCGGTTTCATCGAACCCATCAAATTTTGAAGAAAACCCATCAAAGCCAGAGTTTTTACGGATTCCAACTAGGCACACCAGGTCCATGAGCGACGAGTTGAGCTCCAATACGAGCTTCAACTTAAGCACTCTCTCGCCGGACTCTGTCCTCCACAGACCTAAGCTCTCCACAATTCTTTCCGGAAAAGAAGCCGGGGAAATCGAAAACCCGAAACAGATATATTCAGAAGAAGAACCACAGAAGAAAGTTGAAAGGAGGAGGAGAAGAAAGAAGAAGAGTGGGAGCAAGAGCTTGACGGACCTTCAGTTTGAAGAGCTAAAAGGGTTTATGGATCTTGGTTTTGTTTTCTCAGAGGAAGATAAAGATTCAAACTTGGTTTCAATCATTCCTGGGCTGCAAAGATTGGGAAAGAAGGATGATAGCAGAGAGGAGAGGATTGACGAGTCTGCAATTTCAAGGCCGTACCTTTCTGAAGTTTGGGAGGTTAGGGAGAAGAGGAAGAGAGAGAAGCCATTGATGAATTGGAGGTTTCCTGCGTTGGAAAATGAAATTGACATGAAAGACAATCTCAAATGGTGGGCTCATACTGTTGCTTCTGCAGTTAGATGATCAACATTCTGGTTCTAAGATTTTTTTGTACTTTATTTCTGGTTTGGATTTTGCTTCAGTTTTTTTGACACTTTATGTATACCGTAGATTTACCAAGTCAATCAATATTGTTCTACAACTTGTAAATGTGAATAAAAAGTAGAAACATTTCATGATCAGATTATAAATATTTGTGCTTAACTTCCTCTGCATTCTGCAGAATTGCAAGATTCAATCTCGGAAGAAATTGGTTTCTGGTTTGTGCTTAACTTCCTCCGCATCATTGTTAACATTATTCATTTAGTTTAATATGAAAATCACGGTCAATCACGGTTCAAAATTAAAAAATGACTGCCAATAATTTGCAATAAAAAATTTATATTTTATTAACAGCTAATTCACGTGGGCTGAGTTATTGGATGGATTCAGTATGACAATGTCACAGGAGGAAAATGTCAACGAAGGCAAATGAATCAATGAGTTAGTGTCGTGTCAAACAACAAAACCCTAAACCCCACGATATAGGGTTTACAGAGGGAAGGTTAGAAAGGAAGAGTGATCTCATCTGCACGATTGAGATCATTTGATTCGAGATTTTGCATGGAAACGATCCGGCGACGATCCTTGTTGCGACTGCACAGGGCCCTAATGAACTCAGGGTATCCAACTGCCACAAATTGCAAGGGGAGTGAGAGGCTGTGCAGGTGCAAGGAAGAAGAAGTGCGTAGCCTTGTTTGGCTGCACAGGATCTTCGAAATCAATGGACCGGCCCTGCAGAATGCGCATGAAATCCCTTAAAGATTGAGCATGCAGATAAAATCCAACAAAAAAACACACAAAAAAAAGTATGGTGTGAACGGTGAAACAATGAGCTTGTGGAAATTAGGTAAAATATTATTGAATATATGATGCATTTAGGGTGTGACTACTTGACCCTGAGACCCAGTCATGTAGGTTTAATCACATCTTAATATAATCACACATACAAAAAGATGCCAAATATAATCAATATTTCTAAATAAAAAAATCTTTTCCAATAGAAAAAAAAAAAAAAAATGGATTCACTTTATCTTTCTCAGCAGCCCCACGCCCTATACGAATTAATTAATTAAATACAGCATCTACTTGACCTGTGTTCTTATTTTATTAACTATCTAATTCGAATAAAATAAATGTAAAACAAACCAAATTTAAAGGAAGACTCAATTCCAAGGGCTAAGTCTGTAACAAAGAAGGAAAGTCTATCTATGATTCTATGTGTTTATAAAGACTTCCAACTTCCGAAACATATATTTATACCTTGATAAATTAATAACTTATTAATTAATAATAAATTACTTAATTACTTAATAACTTAATGTTTGCTACATTAATAAATTTTACTTAATCTCAAGATTATTAATTTATAGATAAGTTTTTCTTGAAAGTAGGGAATGGTTAGTCTACGTTGTGAAAACCCAAAGGTCAAGAACAATAAACAAAGTCAAATGCTAAGAAGAATATCTCAAAAATGAAAGTTTTAATGAATTCTCCACGACTTTATTTTTTTTAATAATATCTTATAATGCTAGTATGAAAATTTACGTAAAATTGTAAAATAACAAAAAATTGTGAGAGTTTCTCAACATTCTAATAAACAAAATCTTAGATTAAAGTTCCAATACACTTTTACCATTTCCCGAAATATATAAATCTTCCAAACTAACCATTATTAATGGAATCATATCGTTTCCCACGTAATTTTAAACCGTCGGACAACGTAAAGTCGCCGCCCACTGTTTACATCCCAAATGACCAAAATACGCTCACAGATTGCCTCAGGTGGGGAAAGTCAGTTTGGTCAATCAAAAAACGTACAATGAGAATATTTGAGGTCAGTCCAACGTCCAACTAGAAAGTGCAAGTGTCGCCCAAACACAAACCTTTGCAGTCTCTGTGCTCGGGCTTTGACTCAGTGTCATTCCTCATGGACTCTTCGCGAGTCGCGGAGAGATTTGACTCGCTCTGGTTCTTCGGCAACGTCTTCTCGTCCAAACCCATGTCGCCAATTGTTCAAAATCAGCAAACAGAGCCGCCGCCAGTGGCTGAAATGTCTATCCCAATGGGCCCCAAAGGTGATGAACCAGACACTGTGGAGCCAGGTTCCGTGCAGTTGGTGGTGGAATATTATGATTCTCAGAGTCAAAGGTCAACGGTGAAGGCAAAGAGGAGGAGGAGGAGGAGGAAGAGGAAGAAGGGCCTGCAGAGAAATAAGAGGAAGATTCTTGGAGAGCTTGAAATGTTGGGTTTCGATGATCATGCGGAGGAGGTTACTTATGGAAATTTTTGGTCATCTAATCGGACGGTGGATGGGAATTGTGGGTTTAACAATCAGAGGTTTGGAAAGTATCTGAGTGCAAATTATGGGATGCCTTCAATCAGTGATAAAATGGCTATGAAAGAGTATCTCAAGTCATGGGCTTACGCTGTTGCTTGCACTGTCATCGCTTACGATGTTGATTGATAACCATTTTGTTTTTAGCCTTTTAGGACGGTCTAATAGCACATTTTAACATTTATCTCGTATGTGACTAATTAAACTGTTTGATTTGGGCTTTCCTTTGACAATGTATTGATTCTGATATGTGATTAAGGTTGTACTAATTTGATTCCAATTGCATTAAGAATTTTATTGTTGTTTCTGTCATTCTTTGATTAAAATAGACATTAGTTTTGTGTTAGTTTGTTGAGAGGTTCTTGTGTGAGATCATGAGACGAGGTGAGCGAAGGCAAAAATAAAGAATATTGTCTTTGATGACTTATATTTTGCTTACCGATGCTGCAATGGCAGCATGGTTTATATACAGTTTGCATATACACGCATGCAATAAACAACAATAAAGGTGGCAGAAACTAAACAACAATAAAAGCGTCAGAAGCCATGTGATTGTCTGGCTGGAAGTATTCCTTCTGTTGTCCAGGTTGTACAGCAGCTAGTGGGATTATTAGTGGACAGCATGGGATTATTAGTGGATAGCATTAGCTTCATCATCCCCCCGCAAGCTCATGAGCGGACGACGAACGAGCTTGGACTTTAAGAAATGAAAACGATCAGCAGATAAGCCCTTGGTGAATATGTCTGCAATCTGAAAAGTAGTAGACACATGATAGACATTTAATGACTTTGCCACTACAAGCTCACGCACAAAATGATAATCCACAGCAACATGTTTTGTTCGAGCATGGAACACGGGATTAGATGCCAATGCAATGGAGCTTGTGTTATCACACCAAATTAAAGGAGTCGAAATACGGATGCAAAGCTCCTGCAGCAGTTGTTGGATCCAAACAAGTTCAGTTGCCGTGATGGCCAACTGCCGATATTCGGATTCGGTACTTGAACGAGCAATTGTGCGTTGCTTTTTGGAGCTCCAAGATATTAAATTTGGACCAAAATATATGCAAAAACCACCAGTGGAACGTCTAGTGTCTAGATCCCTGGCATAGTCCGAGTCTGAAAATCCGACCAAATCAGTACCACCGCGACTAAACTGAAGCCCGTCCTCAGGTGTGCCTTTTAAGTAACGAAGGATGCGTTTTATTGCAATCCAATGAACTGAGGTGGGCTGGTGCATATGCTGACATACCTGATTTACTGCATACGTGATGTCAGGTCTGGTGATGGTTAAGTATTGCAGAGCGCCGACCACACTGCGGTAGCTGGTAGGATTAGGCAAAGGAACACCATCAAGAGAATGAAGTGGGGAGCTAGATTGAGCTGGAGTAGCACAAGGCTTGGCGTCCAACATATCTACACGCTGCAACAAATCGAGAACATATTTTGTCTGCTTTAGATGTAACCCATCAGCTCCACGAGTTGCTTCAAGACCCAAGAAAAAATGGAGGGGTCCCAAATCTTTCATAGAAAAACTCTGACCAAGTGCATGGATAAGGGAGTCAACATGAGAGCATTGATTGCCTGTGATAAGGATGTCGTCAACATAGATTAGAAGAATCAAATATACTCCATGATTATTAAAAATGAAGAGAGAATGATCTGCTTGTGATGCCACAAAACCCAAATCAAGAAGATATTCAGAAAAGCGATGAAACCATGCTCTTGGGGCTTGTTTCAAGCCATATAAGGACTTGCGTAAACGACAAACATGATGAGGATACTCGGGGTCTTCAAAACCACGTGGTTGTTTCATGAAAACTTCTTCAGAGAGATTCCCGTGCAAAAACGCATTTTGGACATCAAGTTGGCGTATAGGCCAATTATAAGAGCAACTCCAGCCCAGCACAATTGACTGGCACCCAGAGAAGAAAATAGCCCGGCCTGCAAGGAATGAGCTCCAGTCCGCACAATTGACTGGCACCCAGCCCGTGCCAGTCAACAGCCCAGCCCAAAATGGACAGACCCAGGAGCCGGTCTGTTTGTTGGCGCGTGCAACACACGCGGGTGCTCAGGCGAGTAGCCGACAGGCTTTGCAGGCGTTGGGGCCCGCGTGCAGGTCCACTTGCAGACATCCGGGTGAGGGCTACGTGGCCTTATAAGAGCCGTTGGATTTCCAACGGCTAGTTTTTGTAGGCCGTTGGATTTCCAACGGTAAAAAAAATTTAAATTTAAATTTAAAATTGGACCGTCCGATCATAGATCAACGATCCACGTTTATTTCACCAAAAATTAAAAAAAAAAAAAAAAAAAGGCCCAACGGTCAGAAATTTGACCGTTGGCCACGTGGCATCGTGTTGGCTGTTGGATTTGATTATTTTTCAAATCCAACGGTCCAGATTAATTACAACATTAAAATTTATTAAAAATTAATTAAAAAATGTCAAATTTTTTTTAAAAAATACAGAAAATTTTTAAAAAATTAATTTTTTTTTCTATAAATACCTAACCCTCATCTTCCACCTTACACCACATTTCAATATTTTCTACACTTTCTACACTTTCTACATTTGAATATTTTGTACACTTTGAGAGAAAAAAATGACTTCGTGGAAGCTCAGTGAAGATGTTACGTTGTGTGAATGTTGGGTTCGCACTACTCATGACCCGATTACGGGTAATGAAATGGATAAGCGAGAAATGTGGAGTAAAATTACGAAATCGTTCAACGATGTACATGGAAAAGATGCCAGATCTAGTCAAGGTCTTCAAGGTCGTTGGAAAAAACTCAACGCATCCTTTACT